TTATTAATTACTTATTTTTTCATTGTTTGTTTCCCCTTCATTTCCATTCTTTATTTTTCAATCTTAAATTATTTCATGTTTTCAAGTTTCCTTCATTTTTTCTTCTTTTTGACAAACTTATATTCCTTCTGACTTCAATATTTTACAGGAGTTTGTTTACTTCCTTTCCTTCTTCGCTTTTTTCAGGCTTACATCACAATCATCATCATCATCACCATCATCATCATCATCATCATTATTATTATTATTCAGGATTTTGCTTTGTCAGTTTCTATCCTTCTATCATTTCTTTGAACACACCAGCTCGTGTACGATTACCGGAGTTAAGCAACGCCGACCTTGATCCGTACTGAGATGGGTGACCGCATGCGAATACGAGATGATTGGATTTATGGGTGGTGCATCAGATTATGGCTATTTGTAATCCGAAAAACATGTTTTGCTTCTTATTGTGTTTATTATATCAACTTACGCACATATACCCTACTCCTCCAAACTATGGGTTAAATAGTATTTCATATAATCCTAAACCTTTCAGTCAACCAAAATTACATTCGTATATTCATCTATTCGAGAATATCTTTCCTACATTTATTTTTTATTTTTTCCAATGAAAAATATTTTGATTCTTTATCAGTTTTTTAAATGTTTTCATTTATTTTTTAAAAAATTTATATTTCTAATTAATTTTTAAATTTTGCATCTTGTTCTTTTTTAATTGCTCAAATTTATAGATATCTTTTCATTAGATATTGTATATTGTTCAATAGATTTTTCCTTCATTATATTTAATCTTAGATTACTTCCTTTTTATTTCTTAAGGTTTGGTTCCTTCATTTTTCACTTGTTTTTTACAATCTTGTATTCCTTCTTACAAACAATAAGAGGTAGATACGTGTATCGTCCTGTTCAGACTCCTCCTCTAGTCTTTTGAATAGAAGAAGGGGTTTATCCTTTGTTTCCACTTTCGGCTTTTTTTTTCTAAAGTCTACTTCATCTCTCTACTTCTAACGTTTCCGTCTAAACATTGGAAATTTATTTATTTAATCTTCCTCATTAGTAGAAGATATGTTCACCTATGTCTGCTTCACTCCTTTCCTATCATTTGAACAGAAGTGGAGATTTATCCCTTGTTTTATATTTGGGTTCCCGCTTCCTTCCCATTTTCTTTCACCTCTTTAAGCTATTACGTCTTAGTAGCATTAACACATTGTTTGGAGTTTTTTCTTTAATTCATTTTTTACGGGTTGCTTCTATCTTTCATCTTATTTCTACCTTATATTTTATTTTAATTTTGAAAGTGGTTGATTCCTTCATTTCTCCTTTCTTTCAATCTTACATTCATTTATTTCAATTTTTTTTATTTCAATTTTACTTCACATTCATTTTCAAATTTATGTCACTAACGCTTTTTATAAGATCATATCTACTTTCTTTCTTCTTTTTTACACTCCTCTATTTCATGTTTATCTTATCGTTTTTGTCTTTTGTTTATTTTCGTTTATATTTATTTCTCTTTTTTATTCGTCATGAAGCCATTATACCAGCCTTCGATTTCCTTTACTTTGAACAGCTTTTTTTGTTTCTCTTGACCGCTTTCGATTTTCCTTCTTTTTGAAAATCATATTCTTTATGCTGTTAATCCCGACATTGTTATATTTAATTCTAGGTCGTCTGAGAGCTGCTCATTTAGTTTTATTCTATATCTATCAAGTTACCTAGCTCGCTATCGGCATATATATATATATATATATATATATATATATATATATATATATATATATAAAAGAAAGAACAGTAAAATATATAAACCGGTGTTCTTAGAGATATTTTTATTTTTACAAAATAGGGCTCAATGTAAATTTACAGAGCATTAATATTATAATTAATTGATTTAAAATATATTTTTTCGCTTATCATTCTAACCATGTTTCAAAAAATGGAAGGATAAATGGAATTTAATTTCTTTAAATTAAAGACATTAAATCCATATCATCCTCAAGCGAATTTTTCCTTGAGGATGAAATGGAATTAATGTCTTTAATTTAATTACAAAATTAAATTCGGGGCATTTACCTTCCATTTTGAAACATGGTTAGAACTGTGTAGCAAAAACATATTTTAAATCAATTAATTTATAATATATATATATATATATATATATATATATATATATATATATATATATATATATATATATACAAATATAAATAACTATACTCGTTTCTGAAAAACCTCGAATTTTTGATTTGCCAATAATCGAATCAACCTCGAAGGAAAAAACGTTTTAAAAAAGAAAGAGCTAGAAACATGAAAGTCTGTCGAAAAAAAACCGCACAGATACAGGTTTGAAGCCCAAAGAAAAAACCCGATACGAGTAAACAACGAACTAACAAAAGAGCTCAATACAACCGTAGAGCAGACCTAGATAAACATTATTGTTTAGGGGAAACCTAGGTAGGTTGTCTGGCTCACTAGGTTTATATATATATATATATATATATATATATATATATGAAGAAATATACTCTTAAGGTGTGCTACATTTATGGAATAAAGTGCTCAAAATAGAGAAATATAAAATTGAACATTGAAGTGAATACTTAGGGCTGTTTCATGCTAGACGCAATGACGATCGCGGCTAGCATGAAACAGCCTGTCGCCCTAAGTATTCACTTCAATGTTCAATTTTATATATATATATTTGTGTGTGTATGCGTGTGTATTTTTAAATTGATTTTTGAATTTGGTGCATAAGAAGATCAATAAATTAAATTATAATTAAAAATTAAATTAAACATAATTTAAAATTAATATATATATATATATATATATATATATATATATATATTCATAGTATAGAGAGAGAGAGAGAGGGGAAATTAGCAATAAGTAATCAAGAAAAATGTAATAATGGGTAAATGTAGGCATATAAATATATAAATCCTTGCCATGTAAGTACTAATTAAAAATTTAAAAAAATTAAATTAAAAGAAAATAAAAAATTAAAAAGATAAATAAATATAATATAAACATATTTTATTAGTAAATAAATAAACGTACTAAATCTGAAGACACGCCAATACATGTGTGCGTACATGTATGTATAAATATATGCATAAACACAATAACTAAAATACCAAGAAACAAATCCAACCAATTATTATCTCAATGTATAACACCAAGGCAAAAATAAGCCATTAATCATTTGATAAAAACCATAACATATGAAATGAGCAAACACTTACTTTAATACATAAAACCTATTTAAAATTATGTATATGTGAGTGCATGTGGAGTGCGTCGTGCTGTGCGTGCAGTGCATATATATATATATATATATATATATATATATATATATATATATATATATTAATTTTTTAAAATATCATTCCTTCGCTACATAAGAGTTCTCATGTTTCAAAAACGAGAGCCGAAAACCTCAATATAATTATTGAAATAAATTTACCTAATAATTATTAAATAAATTTACCTAACGTGTTCTTTCCTATTTTATACACATTTGCATATATATATATATATGTGTGTGTGTGTGTGTGTGTGTGTGTGTGTGTGTATAAACACACACACACACATAAATACACGCACGCACACACACACATATATTGGGTGTCCATAAAGTTTGTGTGCACTTTAACAAATTATAACTTTATTTGTATTTATGATAGAAATAATTTGTAAAAAGTATTAGAAACAATTAAATCGATGTTTTTTTAAGGTTTTATTGAAATTTTATTTAAGTTTCCACATGTCCTCCATCATTAGCAATACAAAGGGTAATACGATTTTGCAGTTCACAGAAAACATTTGCCAACTGATTTACAGTAAGCTATACTTAAAACTATGTACATATATACTTTATAACAATTTTAAAGATTATTTCTATCGCAAATACAAATAAAGTTTTAAATTTTTTAAATGCATACGAAATTTATAGACACACTGTATACATACATACATATATACATACACACACACACACACACACACATATATATATATATATATATATATATATATATATATATATATATTCACAGAACAAATTCTAATTCATACCCTAAAAATAGAACAAATAACTTGACCATTTATGCACTACCTTATACATAACAAAGCACGGACATAGGTGTACATGTGCTATGTTTGCCCGTTTCTATGTATATATGTGCGCTTACATATACCTATATACATGCGTGCATTGTTTTATATATATGCGCATACATGAACGTATAAATACAGACATCTGCACATAATTCAAACAAATAAATATAAATAAAAATTAAATCGTAAATTTAACCTACTACAATTAATACTTATGATATAAATCCAAACTAAATAATAAAACGAAATAATACCTTAGTGAAAATATATAACTATATATGTATGTGTGCATGTTTATATATATATATATATATATATATATATATATATATATATAGCGCATTTCCGTTTAAGCATTAATATCATAATATCATAGTATCACATATATATATATATATATATATATATATATATATATATATATATATATATATATATACATACATATGGTATAAGATGACAATTGGAAAAAATCTTAGATTTTCCTGACGTTTCGTCTTCCGACTTTTTTCAAGGCAAAAATGAAATCGAAATGTTTTTGTTGTTATAGTTGCATTAAAAAAATCCAAATTTAAAAAGATAGACGCTTCTGTCTAAGCTTTTTTTTGGTTAATGTAAATATAGTAAGGTATTTTTTTTTCCCATGTCGACAATATGTCTTATCCACAGAATTGATCTGGGAATTTAACTACATATATATATATATATATATATATATATATATATATATATATATATATATATATATATATATATATATGAAGAAGAGAAATTCATTGAAAATACTTTCCAGTTCTTTCAATGGTCGAATTGTTTCATATTCCACGTGAAACAAAAGGCTCATAAAATATTGCAAAATAGAAAAATGTTCCTTCCTA